CAGGCTTCCAGACCCTGGGACGTGACAACATACAGGCTTCCAGACCCTGGAGTTTCGCCTCTCAACAGTGACGCAACAGAGCAGCACGGGGCGGGCCGTCCAGTAGGCGGGAGTGGCAGTGTGTGTATTCACTGCACGGAAGATAATTGATCACACCCGGTTCGTGGTTTCATGACTAATGACTTGCTATACAAGAATTGGAATATATGTATTTCCAGCACGTGTCTTTATTGGGTAGACATTGGTTCCCTACCAACTAGTTTACGGCTAGTGAGGGACTAGTTGTAGTTTAGTAGTGGACTTGGACCTGTCCTAGATGGTGATAAAATATATCTTGAGAGAACTGGCGGTTGTAGGTGTTTATGGTCACTAATTGATTAAATAATTCCGCTGCAGAATCGTTTGATAACTGGATTAAAGCCACTAGCTTGGGAGGGAGGGTTTATGGGTTGTGAATGGTCAGGGAAGAGGAACTAAAGAATATGCAGGCGATGAGTCACAATAACGTGGCTAAAGTATGTTGACCAGACCACATACTACAAGGTGAAGGGACGACGACGTTTCGGTCCGTCCTGGACCATTCACATGTCGATTGTGACTCCATTCTCACAATCGACTTGAGAATGGTCCAGGACGGACCGAAACGTCGTCGTCCCTTCACCTTCTAGTAGTCTGGTCAACTAAAGTATAACATCAGACAACATGGATTCAGACACCACACAAAGGATCCCCACACAGCAATAGCCCTGGTTTGCCATACCAGAAACTAGGGTTTCTCCCAGAGATTCCCTGCCACATTATGCATTTTCATAGAGTAGCATAGTTATTGTCGATATTGGCCGCCACTTTGGTGACGAGATCAAACTGAAAAGTGGAGTGCTATAGGGAAGATGCCTATCACCTACTCTCTTTATGTGCTCGCGCCCCAACATGGATAATATGTCACATACGTGAATGATGTAACTTAAATATTCTGCCACCCAGGATAATCAATGTCGTTACTGGCCATCAAAATCGAGCCGACAGTAGAATTCCCGAACCACTTTGAAAAGGAATGGAAATATAAGTATCAACAAACGAAAGCGTGATAGCAAGGCGGAGAGCCGAGCTGTGATCATAATTCACACTACATTCAACGTTTCTGCAACTTTTCCTTCATGTGTCATTTTTACTCGCCTAACACCCCCCCCCCCCTAACCCCCCCCCCCCTTGCCTCGCAAAAAAATAGATAGATGGGTGTGGTGTTGTGGACAGTGAAAGTTAACCGGATCGCGCACGAGCCAGCTGTGGCCTCCATAACCGGCCTCCACTGGTGCACAGGTCATGACCTTAACGAGGACAGTTGATCGATAGTTGAAGATTAAGCCACCCCAAAAGGTGGCACGGGCATGAATGGCCCGTTAGTGGTGGCCCTCTTGAGCCATTACCAGTATCAATAGCCGATACTGAAGATCTGTGGAGGTACGACTGCGAAATGGGACAGTGACACAAGAATATATATGATATACCGGTACGTACCGTCGCAAGTACTCTTCAAAGACTCTTGCAGAAGCCTCTGTGTACATTATCTTTCCCAGCACCTCTTCCTCTACCCTTGCCGTCCACGTCAGTAAATTTTACCTTGGGCCATACGACCCTAAGTGGTGGGTGGATCGCGGTCCTCGAGGCAGTAGCGTGTGTGTTGTGCTCTCCCGCATCTAATTGAGGGAATTGGGGATAAAGTTCGTAGTCTATAGAACCTTTTCCGTCCGGTTTGACTCTTACTGTTGGGCCGATACTGTACACCTGTTTAAAAGGTTAGATAAATATTTGTTTGCACGGCGTTACTAACTTTGTTATGGCTCCATAAATTGTATTTTATCAGTCTGTTTGCCATTTAAGCAATTCCTATCCTGGAGGGCGCTGATGTATCGAGTAGATTGAGAAAGGATGTTGAAATGTCCAGCTGCATTGGGTGTGGTGAAAGGGGGAGGTTAGTGGGTTACGCTCGAGGGCATCCCCCTGTTACCTAGCAGTAAAATAGGTACCTGGGTGTTAGTCAGCTGTCACGGGCTGCTTCCTGGGGGTGGAGGTCTGGTCGAGGACCAGACCGCGGGGACACTAAAAGCCCCGAAATCATCTCAAGATAACCTCAAGATAGATCCCTCTTGATAATTAATAAAAATATACAATTAAATGAATACAAAATTTGCGTATTGAGTATGACTGGTTGGCCTTGCTGTTACTAGGTAATTTGGTGCAGTGTACTCACCTAATGCAAGGGTAAAATGTATATAGCTACATATACAAGTGTAGCGAGCGGGACTAAAATCAGCACCGCTCCTGTGCCAGGTAAGTCCACTACGGGCTCACCATAGCCCGTGCTACTTGGAACTTGTTCCGAGTAGCTGAATCTATAACAGCAACGTGTAGCGAGTTACTGAGCACTCGACCCCTGATGTTGATTACAATGTTAGCCAGTATATAGAGGTGTTGGGGTTGGGTGAAAGGATGCTGGTGGATGATGAACTAGTACAATGGGGATGGAATTGTATAAGGAAGCGGTTCCATATTCAAAATAGTTCAGAGATTTGCTGATCTCTGTCTCGCAGTAAGTTGGTCTCGCGTTAAGTGTTTTAAATTGGAGTTAAGTGCACTGGAGACGAAAGTGTCTTGTGGGGCAGTGAGTACTTCTCTTGCTATTACCCTTACGTTTTGCGACACGAGTGAAGCGAGCATCTCTTAATATCAGTAAGAGTGTAGTGTAAATGTGTACAGTGCCTTGACCCAAGCTGGCTCGGCAACTTTCCTCTTCACTGTCGACCTGTTTACACACACACACACACACACACACACACACACACACACACACACACACACACACACACACACACACACACACACACACACACACACACACACACACACACACACACACACACACACACACACACACACACACACACACACACACACACACACACACACACACACACACACACACACACACACACACACACACACACACACACACACACACACACACACACACACACACACACACACACACACACACACACACACACACACACACACACACACACACACACACACACACACACACACACACACACACACACACACACACACACACACACACACACACACACACACACACACACACACACACACACACACACACACACACACACACACACACACACACACACACACACACACACCACACACACACACACACACACACACACACACACACACACACCACACACACACACACACACACACACACACACACACACACACACACACACACACACACACACACACACACACACACACACACACACACACACACACCTACCTACACACACACACACACACTACACACACACCACACACACACACTACACACACACACACACACCTTACACATTCTCACACACCTCACATTCTCACTCACCTACCTTACATTCTCACTCACACACACCTACCTTACATTCTCACTCACACACACCTACCTTACATTCTCACTACCACTCACACATTACTCACTCACTCACACACACCTACCTTACATTCTCACTCACACACACCTACCTTACATTCTCACTCACACACACCTACCTTACATTCTCACTCACACACACCTACCTTACATTCTCACTCACACACACCTACCTTACATTCTCACTCACACACACCTACCTTACATTCTCACTCACACACACCTACCTTACATTCTCACTCACACACACCTACCTTACATTCTCACTCACACACACCTACCTTACATTCTCACTCACACACACCTACCTTACATTCTCACTCACACACACCTTACATTCTCACTCACACACACCTACCTTACTTCTCACTCACACACACCTACCTTACATTCTCACTCACACACACCTACCTTACATTCTCACTCACACACACCTACCTTACATTCTCACTCACACACACCTACCTTACCTACCTTACTCACACACACCTACCTCATTCTCACTCACACACCCTACCTTACATTTACTCTCACTCACACACACCTACCTTACATTCTCACTCACACACACCTACCTTACACACACACCTACCTTACATTCTCACTCACACACACCTACCTTACATTCTCACTCACACACACCTACCTTACATTCTCACTCACACACACCTACCTTACATTCTCACTCACACACACCTACCTTACATTCTCACTCACACACACCTACCTTACATTCTCACTCACACACACACACCTTACATTCTCACTCACACTCTCACTCACACTCTCACTCACTCGGCTCAGCCACAAAACCGGCTGTGTGTTTGTTCATATTCCTTCTCAAACTCCAATAGCACGGTTATGTTCATTAGAAGGGGTCGTGGCTCCTCCCAGCGACATCTAGGTAAACTGTTGTAACCACTTGTTCCACAATTCTTGCTGTTTGTCCAAGTATCTTTTTTCTTCCCCTTCCCCCCCCCCCCCAAGGCTTTCACTGTATTTATCCTCATAAGTACCGCGTCGTCACCTAACAGTGCGAAATTTCCCTTCGAAAGATCATTAGCATAGATAAAGAACAACAGTAGGCTCAGCATTGTCTCTTGTAGGACCCCTTTGGCAGCATATCCTCACTCTTAGGTCTCTCTCCTCACCCTGACAGTCTTGCTCAGGTACTCCTCTCTATCCAGTATCACTCTTATCCATTCATTGAGGTCTGCTAGCCTTATGCCGGCCGCTGCATCTGTCTGTCTGTCATTGGAATAAACATAATTTAGATAACAGGATTGATAAGACTTCAGTGGTGATGAGAATAGCGGTGTAACTAATCGACAATCGACTTGAGAATGGTCCAGGACGGACCGAAACGTCGTCGTCCCCTTCACCTTCTAGTGTGTGGTCTGGTCAACTTACTTTAGCCACGTTATTGTGACTCGTCGCCCGCGTGTAACTAATGATGTCGACGAGTATAAGATCATGTTCATTCCTGGTGGCGCAGACCTGACGCGTATCCTGAGGACGAGCCGGGACTACGAGGAGCTGGAGCATGTGTGGAAGATGTGGCGCCTCCAGACGGGTCGCAGGATCAAAGACCACTACAGGCTCTTCGTCAAACTGGCCAACAAGGCGGCCAAGCTCAACGGTATGTGTTACAACCTGTGTGTTCGTACACGTTCATTGTTATTATTGCACCGAGTAGTGTGCTGCATGCAACAACTTACCAAACGTAAGTTGATGCACACAAGGCACAAGAATAGTGATACCCTTAATTTATATGTATATATCTGCATCAAAAGGAATCGATGAATACCTTCTGGACTTTATTCGTAGCTACAAGACCTCCTTACGGTTGTTTATTGCAAGTATCGCCTAAATATTCTAGAAGGAAAGCATAAGGAGCATCATAAACTAGTGATTGACGAGGTCATGCAAGCATTTAGCCACTGATAAAATACAGAAACGAACATTTCTTGCAGGTTTTGACAATATGGGAGACATGTGGCTGTATCCATACGAGTCGAATACGTTCCGGAGTGACCTAGCAGAGTTATGGAATCAGTTGATGCCTCTGTACCAGCAACTGCACGCCTATGCCAGAAGGAAACTGAGGGAGGTAGGTGGTCACGATGAGGCGTCTCTGACTAATGTACTTACTTAATTATACTCGCCGGGGTTGAGCTCTGGCTCTTTGGTCCCTCCTCAACTGTCAATCAACTGATATACAGATTCCTGAGCCTACTGGGCTCTATCATATCTACATTTGAATGGATAGAATGTGGGCGAGCTTCTATGACATTCAACCTATCGCATAATTTTGTAAAAATATAAATGTTACCTTTTAAAAATCACATGAAATTATCATTGAGTAAATGTAAGAAAATAAACACAATTATCTTCAGAAATACGGCGAAGAGCATGTGAGTCGTCGTGGTCCCATCCCAGCCCATCTACTGGGCAATATGTGGGCCCAGCACTGGGGTGAAGTGTACGACCTAATGATCCCCTTCCCTGGCAAGGTCTCCGTTGATATCACCCCACAAATGGTGGAACAGGTAAACTAAATCTCTCCACCAAGTATGTAAACCCATCGATGGAATGTGTTCAGCGTTCCTGACTTGAGACTTTATTTTCGTTTTCAAAACTCGTGCCTCGAGTTCATTGATGTTTTAAAGCCTCGCCTGTGATATACATTACACATTCCAGGGAGATCTTTATCGCCACATGCATGTTGAGTGCTGCACATTTAGGTAACACTTTGGTAATTAATTATTGAATGGTTGCAGGTAATGAGTCACAATAACGTGGCTGAAGTATGTTGACCAGACCACACACTAGAAGGTGAAGGGACGACGACGTTTTGGTCCGTCCTGGACCGTTCTCAAGTCGATTCTTCTGGACTTGAGAATGGTCCAGGACGGACCGAAACGTCGTCGTCCCTTCACTTTCTAGTGTGTGGTCTGGTCGACTTACTGAATGGTTGTTGCGCAGGGCTACACGCCTCGGAGGATGTTCGAGCTGGCTGAGGACTTCTTCGTCTCCCTCAATCTGACGAGGATGCCGCAGGAGTTCTGGCAGCACTCCATCATAGAGAAGCCCCAAGGCAGGGACCTGGTGTGTCACGCCTCCGCTTGGGACTTTTGTAACGGCAAGGACTTTAGGTACGACATCTTTGGTGTTTAGTGTAAATATTACATTATGCTTTACAAGTGAAGTCGTTTGGTCATATAACAATTTAACAGCAAAAGACTAATTAAACTTTAAACAGAATAGTAATGAATATTAATAAAAAAGTAATGTTTATAAAAAAGTAATGAATTTATACATAATAGTAATTCGAATCCTCGTCACGGCCCTTGTGGATTTGTTCAGAATAGTAATGAATTGAACTTTAAATTGATAATTCATTGGAATGAAAATAAGTTACACACATTTATTACAACTTAGTAATAAGAAACTTCTAGAATTAGCCTTAAACTGATTTCTTCAAGATGTTTAAGTACAGAATGTACACGAAATTAAAACATTCCCAAGCCTGGAGTTATAGAAAGATATAAATATTTCCTGAATATTCTAAGTGTTGCATAGATGAGAATACAAAGATAAGCTTGTCATGGTGTACACAAAGTGTACATGTTGTACACTTAAACTGAACATGTTGTACACTTAAACTGAACACCTACAGACGTATGGTCACCACTCTGGACAGAGGGGAACACTTACATGGTATATAAAATATTGCAGCCGATGAGTCACAATAACGTGGCTAAATTGTTGACCAGACCACACACTAAAAGGTGAAGGGACGACGACGTTTCGGTCCGTCCTGGACCATTCTCAAGTCGATTGTGATAGACTTGAGAATGGCCCAGGACGGACCGAAACGTCGGCGTCCCTTCACCTTCTGGTGTGTGGTCTGGTCAAAATAAAATATTGCATCATGTTTGAAGTAATATTGGTTAGCTGTGGGAAGTCAATGGTATGCTTCTCGGGTAGTAATATGGGGCTCTTTGTTTCCTTTTAACCATAAACTTCCGCTTCTCCAGAATAGACACAAGTAAGTCTTTCGTGTTTTCTTAACTCTTCTTTCTCTTCTACTGCTTTAATGGGTAATTGATGTCAATTATGTCAAGAATGTAACAACTCTTGTATATATCTCAAAAAAAAAAAAAAAAAAAAAAAAAAAAAAAAAATCACATGTAGTTGCATAATGTATAGTTTTCAAATTTGGTGGAAATGGTGGTATAAAACCTCTAAATATTGGAGCTTTTGAATTAGAATACATATTCTAGACATCACATAGATGTCTAACTCTGTAGTTTTAATGTTCATTAATCTTATAAACCTTAAGACAAGTTATGTTATTTCCTGCCACAAGAACATTTAAAGCAGTAGGTGTTCTTAATCATATTTAATTGCACAAATTATAAATGTTTAAACTATGCACTAATTTTTTGTATTCATTAAATTTCCTTCTACTTAAGAGGACATAAGTATTCCATATATTGGGACCTATTCTCCCTGGTATTTAGTTTTCTTATGCACCCCTGGACACTCACTCCTGCCTCTCACACTGGTAGATGGTCTACCTGTACACTTCTGCCTCTCACACTGGTAGATGGTCTACCTGTACACTTCTGCCTCACACTGGTAGATGGTCTAACTGTACACTTCTGCCTCTCACACTGGTAGATGGTGTAACTGTACACTTCTGCCTCTCACACTGGTAGATGGTCTACCTGTACACTGCTGTCTCTCACACTGGTAGGTGGTGTACATGTACACTTCTGCCTCTCACACTGGTAGATGGTCTAACTGTACACTTCTGCCTCTCACACTGGTAGATGGTCTAACTGTACACTTCTGCCTCTCACACTGGTAGATGGTCTACCTGTACACTTCTGCCTCTCACACTGGTAGATGGTCTACCTGTACACTCCTGCCTCTCACACTGGTAGATGGTCTACCTGTACACTTCTGCCTCTCACACTGGTAGATGGTCTACCTGTACACTTCTGCCTCTCACACTGGTAGATGGTCTACCTGTACACTTCTGCCTCTCACACTGGTAGATGGTCTAACTGTACACTCCTGCCTCACACTGGTAGATGGTCTACCTGTACACTTCTGCCTCTCACACTGGTAGATGGTCTACCTGTACACTTCTGCCTCTCACACTGGTAGATGGTCTACCTGTACACTTCTGCCTCTCACACTGGTAGATGGTCTAACTGTACACTTCTGCCTCTCACACTGGTAGATGGTCTACCTGTACACTTCTGCCTCACACTGGTAGATGGTCTACCTGTACACTTCTGCCTCTCACACTGGTAGATGGTCTACCTGTACACTTCTGCCTCTCACACTGGTAGATGGTCTACCTGTACACTTCTGCCTCTCACACTGGTAGATGGTCTACCTGTACACTTCTGCCTCACACTGGTAGATGGTCTACCTGTACACTTCTGCCTCTCACACTGGTAGATGGTCTAACTGTACACTTACTCCTGCCTCTCAAATATTCCCACAGTTCCTCAAGCTCTTTTCATTGAATTAGTGTTATTTAATTCACTGATTAACCCGCATGACATTAATGCATGATTTATAAACTTCACCGTTGCTCTTGAGATACAGCACTGTAATCCACCTGCACTGCAGCCGACCAGCACTGTAGTTTATCCACACTGTAGTGTAATCGCACAGTAGTAAACCTGAATTCTAGTTGACCAATACTATCGTCGACAGAGACTGGACGACTAGGCCTGTGTTCTGGAGGACCAGGCCTGTTGGTCGACCAGGCCTGTTGGTGGACCAGGCCTGTTGGTGGACCAGGCCTGTTGGTGGACCAGGCCTGTTGGTGGACCAGGCCTGTTGGTGGACCAGGCCTGTTGGTGGACCAGGCCTGTTGGTGGACCAGGCCTGTTGGTGGACCAGGCCTGTTGGTGGACCAGGCCTGTTGGTGGACCAGGCCTGTTGGTGGACCAGGCCTGTTGGTGGACCAGGCCTGTTGGTGGACCAAGACTTTGACTAGTAAATAATTACAGATAACCACTGTATTACCTATGCATGATGCACTCTGTATATATAACCCAGCATGTCTCAGTCTGTATAACCATTAGGTTTAGATGGTGCTTTGGATTGTTTAAGAATAATGCAGTGCACGAGAGTGACCATGGATGACCTCATTACGTTGCACCATGAGATGGGCCACATAGAGTACTTCCTCCAGTACCAACATCTCCCGCTGATTTTCCGTACTGGTGCTAACCCAGGTAAGGGCGCTTGTGTTGTGCTTGGCGGGTGATCCTCGTCTCTTGCCACAGCTTCACCCAACATTGAAGGGTGTGTTCTTCCTAGTGCTTATAACGTATGCAGGCGATGAGTCACAATAACGTGGCTAAAGTATGTTGACCAGACCACATACAAGGTGAAGGGACGACGACGTTTCGGTCCGTCCTGGACCATTCTCAAGTCGATTGAGAATGGTCCAGGACGGACCGAAACGTCGTCGTCCCTTCACCTTCTAGTGTGTGTGGTCTGGTCAACTTATAAGGTATTATGCTTCGTAGTCTTTAAGTTTGCATGTGGGGTGACAGGACACGTATTAAGAAACAAAAGAGATCACACATTTCCATAGCCAGTGTATACATGTAACTGGAAGCTTCGAGACGGTACGAAAACATCTCGAAGCCTCATTTACATTGATCTGCACCTGCTTCTCACTATGCCTTGCTTTCCCCCCCCAGAATTAAACAGTGTACGGATGTGACAATGAATGAACTGATAACAGTTCACCACGAAATGGGCCACATAGAGTACTTCCTGCAGTACAAGCACCTCCCAGAGGTGTTCCGCGACGGCGCCAACCCAGGTGATGGGGCGCGCGGCACTTTCCCGCCATCTCTTGTGTTTTTAAAAAGGGTTTGTTTGGTAGAAGATTCGGCTCAAGTTCGGAAACTTGGATGATTTAGGCTCATAACATTAGTATATGTATACCAGCACTTTAGTAGTAGTGGTAGTACTAATGGTACTACTAGTGGTAGTAGTAGTGAGAGTAGAAGTCTTAGTACTGGTAAAGTTGTAGGAATTGAGTTAGTAGTACTATTAGTTACTAGTGGCAGTACTAGTGATTGTGGTAGTAGCAGTATTTACTTGTGGTGGTGGTAGTAGTTGTGGTATTACTAGTTGTGATGGCATTAGTAGTTGTGGTAGCATTAGTAATTTTGTTAGCAATAGTTGTTTCGTTAGCACTAGTGGTTGTGGTAATACTAGTAGTTAGTGGTTGTGGTAATACTAGTGGTTATAGTATTACTAGTAGTGGTAGCACTAGTGGTTGTGGTATATTACTAGTAGTGTTAGCAATTGTGGTAGCACAGGTAATGGTAGACAGTAGCAAAGAATTGTTCTTACCAACAATAGACGAATGGTCTGAAGTGGGAGAAGGGGGGAATGCTTTTGCCATATCATTAATAAATTTCAGAATTGCAATATTTTCTCAATTTACTTTACTTCATTTGTAAGGCAGAATCGGCTTGCTTTCTACTGTAATGCATAACTTATTTTCTAATGTAATATAAAATTAATTTTCCTTTTGTGAAGAGAAGAAACTAACATTGTTTGTAACTCGTCTTCAATGTATGTACCTTTACCTGAATAAAAAATCTAAATTTAATATAGGAAGAATTTTTCAGGGTTCCACGAGGCGGTGGGAGACGTCTTGGCCCTGAGCGTCGCCACACCTAAGCATCTTCACGAGATTGGGCTCCTGGAGGAGGTACACGACGACCCGGAAGTCGACATCAACTTCCTCATGAGCATGGCACTTGATAAGATCACTTTCCTGCCTTTCGGATACCTGATGGACTTGTGGCGGTGGGATGTGTTCAGTGGCAGGATCTCTGAGCGGGACTGGAACTGCGCCTGGTGGGAACTTAGGTGATTAGATTTTGTTTTTGGCAAGCGATGAGTCACAATAACGTGGCTGAAGTATGTTGACCAATCCACACACTAGAAGTTGAAGGGACGACGACGTTTCGGTCTGTCCTGGACCATTCTCCAGTCGATTGTCTGAGAATGAGTCTTGAGAACCACATCGACTTGAGAATGGTCCAGGACGGACCGAAACGTCGTCGTCCCTTCATTTTCTAGTGTGTGGATTGGTCAAGATTTTGTTTTTGTTTACTGTATTCCTCCCAAGCCAAATAAAGGTTTCAAAACATTGTTGCCAAATGGATATTATCCGGGGCTGCTGTACTCGAGTACAGAAGGGTACTGTAGAGTTGTTTGAACTGGTTATCTTCAGTTTGCCACGCTTGTTCAAAAATGTTTTCACCATCAGCTGATAAAGTGGCTTTAGATTAACAATACTTTGAACATGCACTTGGCCAGAATTCGCAAAGTATGGCACTCAAGTTTGTGTTTATTTTCACCATTATATTTATTGTTGCCATTTTTGTATCCAATGTCTGTATTCTCAGGCATTAGCTTATTACAGGTCATAGTCATGCAAATAAATATTAAATACCAATGTTGTTAAAATTGTATTTTCAAGCAGTCTTGGAATAGCAATACTAGGCACAGTATATTAACACCTAGTAATTAAAGTCATTAATGCAGTTCAGGGCCTTGCTTGTATTGATGTCATGTATATTCCTCAAACATGTTGACACTTGTTTCATCCAAATATTGGCAACTTTCTCAATGTAAAGAAAATTTGTATTTTCAGATACAAGATACAGGGAATCAAGCCTCCAGTCCAACGTTCAGAGTACGACTTCGACCCGGGAGCAAAGTACCACATTCCGGCCAACGTGCCGTATGTCGGGTGAGTCACACGGGAACGTCTCGTGTTGACACACGTGGCCTACACTCGCAGACTTCTGAGAGATTAACCAACTGGGAGAAACGTATAGAAAACCGTTTTTAGTTAAAGGATACATCATTTTAGAAATAAATGCAATAAGAACTTAACTATATAATTATAGTTGATGTTGAGAACATACAAGGTTATGGATATGGGACAGGTGAGAGAGAGAGATAGGACAGGTGAAGGATAATCTATTAGTGAGTTAGGAAGAAGGTGAGGTAGGTTATTTAACCTGAAGTGTTAGGTTACTTTTGGGGCACTGGCAATGCCTTTAGTTGCCAATAATTCCATTAACTCGATAGTCAATAGATTCAATAGCAAGTATACAAAGCAAAAAGTATTTCCCTTCCTTACAGACACTCCCTACAACTTAATAAGTGTGACCAGGCTGCACTTCTGACTAGATCTTGTAAAAATATAAAAAAATGTAAATATAAATGTAAATAAATTTGGTAGAACTGTCGCTTAAATTTGATATAAATATTGACAAAAAATATTTGTCGTAGTAAATAAAGTAATGGATATAAATTGTGATTTTCAGGTACTTTGTGAGCTTTGTGGTGCAGTTCCAGTTCCACAAGGCCCTGTGCATGAAGGCGGGAGAGTACGACCCCCTCGACCCTTCCAAGCCCCTGCACAAGTGTGACATCTACAAGTCCACTGAGGCTGGCAACGCCCTCGGGTCAGTAGAGGCGTGCTCCCTGCACCTTCCTGTGGGTGTGTGAGCCCGCATCACGGGGGCCCTGTTGACGAGAACACACACTTGAAAGTGAAGGGACGACGACGTTTCGTCCTGGACCATTCTAAAAGTCGATTCTTACAATCGACTTGAGAATGGTCCAAGACAGACCGAAACGTCGTCGTCCCTTCACCTTGTGTGGTCTGGTCAATATACTTTAGCCACGTTGTGACTCCTCGCCTGTACGGGGGCCCCTGACCCATGATGCATCATGGGGGCCCTGACCCATCAACAGTCATCCTCGTGACGACACAGTTTCACCCCATCTCCTACCACTATCACCCATTCCGCATTAGCAGCCCACCATAACCCGAAGCTCTTGACGCGCACACTAGCTTTCTTTCCCACATATCATGAGCCTCAAGGGAGGCACTACAGAGAAAGTAACCTGCCCACCTACCCACCACAGTGTTCTAGTGGCACGCGCCACTTCGTGTCATACCTTGCTGGGTGGTGCTTGCTCAAGGATCTAGATTCTGATTTGTTAGTCAAGTACACTATTCCAATCCAGTCGTGAGACGATTCTAATTTTGCAATCAGATATTTCATTTTTTTTTTTGTATTCGGTACTAGTTTCAGAATCATAACTTGTGTTAAATTTGGTATGTGATGTTCCTGAAATTCAGTATTTTTTTTCTAAATAACTACATGGAAAAAATCAAAGTAATTTAGATGTGCTAATATGAATTACTTTCTATATTATTTTTGCCACTTGTTTTTGCTGTTGATTACTTTGAGCTTAGTGCTCTTAAGTCGGGCTCTTTCCTTTTCTGTAGTACTAATTGTTATTTCTAGCGACTTTCTAAGACGTTTTAAATGAACATTTTAAAGCAATAAATGATAACAAGGCTTCCTCCCTACACAGGGATATGCTGCAGCTGGGGTCGTCGAAGATGTGGCCCGAGGCAATGGCAGCTCTAACAGGCACTCGCAACATGGACGCCTCGGTCATCAGGGAGTACTTCAAGCCTCTGGAACTGTGGCTGACACAGGACAATGAGCGCCATAGGGAGTCTGTTGGCTGGGAGACTGGTAAGGGGTTTCTCTCTCGCACACTAAATATGCCGCGACGCTTGTGTGAGCCTCACACTAAATATGCCGCGACGCTTGTGTGAGTCTCACACTAAATATGCCGCGACGCTTGTGTGAGTCTCACACTAAATATGCCGCGACGCTTGTGTGAATCCGTTAGCCAGTGTAAATGGACTTTCATATTTTTAATCTACAATATTTCGACTAACTTTGTATCATGATTATCTGGAGCTTGGTGATCATCATTTAGATGTCAACTTTAGGCAGTAAAGAAGAAATACTATTATATTTCTTCTCTGCCATGATTTGTAATGTAGTTTAATACACGATTTTTGTTTTAAAGTTATGAATTGGATGATTTAAACAAATATTCTGAAAGGAATTTGACTTTACTAAAGACAAATCAAGAAATTAGCAGCGGGACGCCACGGTGTCAACCATTTTTTTTTAGAAATATGTACAACTGCGTTTTCGGTTCAGTCTCTTCTCCTGGTGGTATATATATAGCTCTATATAAGATGATACTCTAATGGCCTCCTTCAGAGATTGGTTTTCCAACGTCCTCGTTCCTTTGTTAATTGACTACCTGAGCGAGTGCCACTCCTTGTGGGGCAGATACCACATCTGACCTAAGAGGAGACCCACTGGCGCGTCCTACTGGAGGTTGTTTGGGAGACAATTGTTGGCTTTCATGGTAGTGCCACTTTCCAACTCCACTTGGCACAGCTGGACATTCCCCTGCCCTTCGTGCCTCGACACGATACCTCTTGGGGTCGCTGGATTGTCTTGGGTTACTGAGATCGTTGGGGCTGACAATCCCCAAGTGAGCATGTGAAGGTGTAGACGACGTTCGTCTCTCTTAAGGCATTTTTCTTGGTGTTGGGAGAATTCTTCATTAGCAGGTTTACGGTTTTCTTACTCTTATAGTATATTGTACTATCAATATACTTAGAGCAAGAAAACTGCCAACCTGCTAATGAAGAATTCTGCCTTAAACGCTTCACTCTGGTTAAGTATCCCGTTATCGGAGACTGTACTTGAGCTGATCAGAGTCAACTACTGACCTTCTCTGGGACACAGCCTACAACAGTTGCCTCACTCCCGGCTTCCTATTTACTGCAAAATGAATACACAATCAGGTGAAAGAAAGCCTGACCCCACCGTCTTTTTCCGTGGGATTCAAACCAAGGATTCTGTTGTAAGTCGACGACGTAGACCACTGTGCCGTGAAATATGATCAGCGCACCTTGTGAACCTCATCTGTGTTGGTCATTTCATGTACATCATCCTTGCTTTAAGAACGATTGCAAACGTACTCTGGGCTACAGGTGCTAGGCCAGGTGCTGTTGCCAGTGCAACACAGAGCCATTTGCTCGGTGTTGCATTGGCAATAGCACAGATGGCTGATCTTGCATTGACAACAACTCTGACTGTTGGTCTTGCATTGGCAAGACCAATTTCTTCTCGGTCTCCGGAAGAAATCCATTTTTACTAAACATAATAGTAGGCATCCATCAGTCTCAGGAGACTATGGAGTTGCGTTCTGGTTGTCGGTCTGGAGTGGCCTCACTAAACATAATAACGCCGTGCAAAAGAAAATCATGTAGATGGTTTTAGCTCTCCTCCGAGGTGCTAGTCTCCTCGGCTTGGTGTCTTCTTCTAACAGTTGCTCGCCTAAGAGGCGAGGTTTATAATATATCTTACGCTCTCGGTGAGTTACCAGCATCCCTTTCAGCGTGTGTGAACTCTATCCTGAGCTTTTGAGAGACACGGCTGTGGACTCCCTGTTAGAACAGAGCTTTAGCTTTTATGAGATACTGCTGTTAGAACATGGCTTTAGCTTTTGTGAGATACTGCTGTGAACACCCTGTTAGAACATGGCTTTAGCTTTTGTGATACTGTTATATTTATAAAGTCGAATTAGAGCACTAATACAGATACATTTGCATTAAATGATACAGACTACCCAAGCCATGTTAAGAGTGATGCCAACACAGGTGTAGCACCACAGCACACGCTCTCCACTGACTTTGACTCGCCTCCAGAGTGGTGGTAAGATCACCTGCAGGGTCTTGGCTACAGCATCATCAGTGTCAGTGGTGGTAACAGCTAAGTAATGATGTTGAGTTGCCAGGCGGAGGGGTTGTCGGTAGACTACAGTACTTGACCTGTACCTGTAGCATTCTGCACCTATTATTAGTATTGTCTTCTAGTATAGGATGGAGGTTGTAGGTCTTGTTGATAATTTAGGATTTATGGAATTGTAAAATAAGTCATATATTCTTGTTTGATGATAATTCTTGTAAACACTAACATTCATTTGATATGCTTGTGTTATACGTTGGAGTCATGTTAGTGTTTTGGTCAGGATATATAGCTCACTGCCCAATAACTTGACGAGTGTGGAGAAAATGTATTATTTTTATACTTTTAATTTTAATTTGGTGGACATATTAACATGTAGATTATGCTTGTTTTTTAATCCTCCTGTTGCACCGTATGATGGAGGTAATTATTTAGAGGTACTGCTGTTCTCGTTTAAATGAAGTTTGTACAGTGTGAAATATTTTAGTAATTGTCAGGTGTTCAGAGACTGAATGTAACTTGAATGATTTGATATTAGAGTGGAGTAGACGCTGTGTGATAAGCTAGCTAATAGTGGGAGTGTTGGAGGCAATGCTCTAGGAACTTGGAGAGAAGGAAAACGGGGAGAGGGGAGACTAAGGAGACTTGTGAGATGTGTCTAGCTGCAGCTTTACAATGATCACTCGTTGTTTAGGTCGCCTCTCTTCCTGTATACTGTAGTCGAAAGTGGTGTGTATAAAATATATTATATATATAATTATATATGTTATATAATATAATATAGGCTACAAATGTCGAGTTTTTTAATCAATATAGAGAGAACCAGAAATGACTAAGGGCTTCGTGATAAACCCCTAAAGTGTGTGCCTCACTGAGTGCAATTTTTCTCGACAGATGAAGTGATGTGTACATCTGAGGCGCCCAAGGAGAAGCCTAAAGCCAAGTCGACGTCGGGTGCTGGCGGAGCTCCGGTCTCCAGGTCGCTCCTGCTCCTCGCCCTCACTCTCATTCATCTCTTTAAATTAAGATTCAATAGGTTATTATATTAGGTTTAGCACAAGACTCCCTGCTCAGATTTCTCGTATAGTGATATGGGAAAGTGGTTGTTAATATATATATATATGTTTAAGCAACACCCTTGTTATAAAACGGGTTTTGCATTAAGTGAATTTTTAGCGTCTTCTTTAATATATATTTTTGTGTATTCTGTTTCATATATGTAAAAAAAAATTTTTTTACTAAATGTCTATATACTCTAAATGTATATACACTAAATATATATAAAATATAATATATTCTGTATGTTGAAATAGTAACTTAATATTGTAGCTTTTTTAACATACAGTACAAACTTTCAGTTCAATGCCTCAGTACCTCCGAGAGAGAGATTGCTAATTTTAATATAATAGAAACGTTGTCATGAAAACCGTCCTCGACTTGTTTTGTGATGATTCTAGTGATCACTTGGGGAAGGGTCCCGGCATGCACTGCGGCAACTGCCAGGTGAGGCGCCAGAGAAGTGAACATTCCGACTTGACTCCTGTCAACGTAAAGTGTTCACGATGAACAAAAAGTACAACAGGGAACCTGAATTAGAACCTTGAACGAAGTTTACTTTTGTTAATGCAAATGCAAAATATTTTCAAATGGCTTGTTTTATTTCTCCAATGGACTCGTGCATATTATAAGTCATTTGACACGAGAATAAAGTTGACAGGAATGTGGGAAAATTTTACCCACTATATCTATCTAAGAAATGTATTACTTCTATATCATGCCTATATTTTACATCGGAATCATATCTCTACTATATCCTACCTCCAGAATCACACAAGATTCATTATCTTGTACATCAACTAGATCCTAGATAACCACTTAGTGACGTAATCGTTACATAGGATACATGTAATCGTAAAGGATCTAGAAGCTCCAAGAATGAGCTGATAATCGAAATACTGTTGAAACTAAATTATAACTTCCTGTGGCGTATTTCCAAATCCATAATAAAAGATCAATTGTACAGTTTGTACTACCTATAAGCACAAAATTCTGTCTATTTATCTTATAATTCAACTTCACAATAATGTCTAAACAATAAAAAATAGTCAATCGATATTCGTTGTCTATACCTGACTGTAGAGGATGGAGCCGCCGCCTGGGAACACAAGCGCCCAGGGCCAAATCTTGGTGTTTACAAACAGTGTGTGTACAAGTGTGCGGTGCTCTGAGAAAACTTTCAACTGACTTCACCGCACGAACGACTTATTAAATCCTCAGTGATTACTCCCCTAGATACTGGGAGAGTTCCTGGACTATATACACTTAAAAATTCCCAATACTTCAATCTAAATAAGAGTGAAGAGAGTGGCTCACGACGTGAAGTCGCCTCCACCGCATCATATATCCTAGCAATGCTACTAGGGACAAATTCAACAGCAAAGCTGCTATGTTATCAAGATACAGAGCCTTATCGTCAAAAAGAGATCCAATTTGATAAGTTGCCGGATAAGTTATAATTATTGAATGTTATTTGTAGTGTTGATTGGCCAACTTGCATGCTGTGATAGCCTTAATCTATTCAATAAATCTGTTTGTCGTTAAAGCTGAGGGGCAATGCCCCATTATAGGTAAGAATTTAACTTTAATTTTTTCGTGCCTGAATCTCTTCATATAAATCTGAAATTATATAATATATATATACATGCTTTATATATACAAGTATGTGTGTAATTCATCAATAATTGTTATAACAGTAATTTATCATATTGAATGTAATATATTATTTGAATAATTGCATATATATCATACTTGTATAATTCAACTACCTTGTGTTTATTAGTATAATTTGTTTAATGGCTGCTGCAATAATTTTAGAGCTAGACTAGACTGTGTATATTGTTAAAATCTTTGATCTAGAACATAACCAGTGATCACAGTAATAGAACTGTTTTATTATCTTACTCTTGTATAAAATACAAGCTGATGTGTTGAAATGCCTGCAGGTAGATTGCGAGCCTCCAAATCAACAAATCTTTTCACCCTTCAGAAACCTTCCTGTTCCCTACAGACCACTTTCTTTCCTAGGAAAAGAGGAGTAGGATTTACAACCCTAGCTAAGGACTTTGCAAGTTTTATTTTTGTGTTTTTATATACAGTCCTGAATTTAAAGTCCTAAGTAACTCTCCTCATTCATAATATCATGGTATTTTCCCCCCACAACGAAGGAACAAGTGTCAATTTGAACTGACACAAGTGTCATTATACCTTAATAAACAGGTAGAATGTTTAAGGACTGTTTGCGATGGGTCGAGTTGCAAGTGATGAATGAAGCGACTGGCCACGTAGGTGTATTCCACTTTTTTTCTGCCTGCAGAATAGAGCTTTTAGCTCTTGGACCCACCCTTTCTAGATGCTGGTCCCATACATATATAATATTATATAATATATACATATATAACTAAAAACTCCACACACCAGAAGGATTCGAACCCAGACAGCCAAGAGCACTGTGCACCTTGGCGTACCTGGTTCCTTAACCGCTCGACCACGCTGTACAAAAATGTTGGAATTCGTGAGACTTGTATACCAAACACTCGACATCGCTCAGTGGTTAACCTTTTGGATGTTTGGTACATAAGTGTGAGTGAGGATGGAGTCAAGGGGCCAGATTCACGAAAACACTTACGCAAACACTTACGAACCTGTACATCTTTTCTCAATCTTTGGCAGCTTTGTTTACAATTATTAAACAGTTAATGAGCTAGGAAGCACCAGGAGGCTGTTTATAACAATAACAACAGTTGAATGGGAAGTTTTCATGCTTGTAAACTGTTAAATAAATGTAACCAAAGCCTTCGAAGATTGAGGAAAGATGTACACTTTCGTAAGTGCTTTCGTGAATCTGGCCCAAGGCCTATGCTGCTGCCTCCTGGTGCTGTGTGCCAGAGTAACACTATAGGATCTCTACAACTTCATGACTTCAAAAAATTGGCGGTGTGCATATTAATATTGTCAAAAGCGTCATCAGCTCACCTTTACATAAAGTGTTCCATAGGCACGGCTGTAACGTGTCAATTCACATTTGAGGCAGGATGCTACAAGTGATAGGATTTGGTTCTATGTATTGCTACCCAATTGTTTTCCAGTATTATTGTCCGCTGTGTGGAGGCAGGCAAGAGGTTGGCTTAGTTACTTCTCAAGCAGTAACAACACGCACCACAGACGTGGACGACGACACCAGCTGAGGAAGGAGCATGTGTCGTGCGGACGATGACAGCAGCTGAGAGAGGACAGAGATCGACCACTGACGAAGTTTAAATCCAATAAAATAACAATGAATAAATTAAATGGGATAAAACTAAAAGATTAAAATAAAGAAAGGAAGCACTAGAAGGCAAACCATGAAATAAAGAAGAAAGTGATGCGATGTTAGGGAAATAAAATATAGAAAATATAATGTTATATATGTTGAAGAAATATCAACGTTATACAGATTCTGACATCAGTACAATTCCAAGTATTGATCATGAACGATAAAATAATTAATTGAAGTTTTAATGAAAAACAATAATATGGCTTACAGCAAATCTCGTCTCAAGGACGCAGCAATACATGTTTCCACCTTAACAAGAGAGCAATGAAGACTAGATTACGCAGGCTAATTTACAACACCTTCCTGTCCCCCACCTCCCTCACACAGTCATGGATGTGAACGACCCTGGACGACTACTGGCTCTGCTCCATAACCGCTCCAGGGCTACCTCCGCCGCTGCCAGCTATATCTCTGCTTTTTTGCCTGGCCGTCGTCGCCTGCAGCAGGGTCATCTTGGGTGCTCGTCTCTGGCGCGGGGCTCCAGGGCGAGACTCCGGGTATCGCTAAACACGTTCAAGATAACTATCTTTCCATAATGCCGGGTGATTACCACACTGTTTTGGGCACGTTAGTCCTGTTTGAGGCAGTTGGGGAAACAAAGGAATATTCTGGCTTAGATAAGTGAGCAAAGAATTCATTTTCCTTTTACAGTAGTTACTAGATAATACTAGTGCACAATACCAACGAACTAGTTAAACAGTTATTATAACGGAACAGGTGTCGGGCAGGTGTTGTGCCCTTCGCACATTAGTAACAAAGCAAAACAAAAAACTGCTTGATACCTCTACTGTGTGAGAACTGCGGGTAAAAACCAAAGAGAATACAAACTTCAAACATTTTTATAATAAAAAATGACTAATTTTACACAAAATGACAAGTAACAATTAATGAAAACAAAATCCTTTATCCACTTGGCATTACACACAATCAAAATAAGAAATATATACGTGTGAAATTAACGTTAAATAATAATGGTGCAGGTAATATTTTATACAAACTGATGGGTGCGTCTACCATCACCCAGGGGGAGGGGGGGGGGGGCAAGAGTAGATGTTACAGCTGAGAGCACTCGAAGGGTAGTCTGTTGAGCTGGATTGATTGATTGATGAAGATTAAGCTACCCAAAAGGTGGCATGGACATGAATAGCCCGTAAGTGGTGGCCCTTTTGAGCCATTACCAGTATCAAGAGCTGATACTGGAGATCTGTGGAGGTGCGACTGCACCCTACGTGACGGGAGATGTCTCCCGTGGTTGAGCTGGACGCTGGCAAGCCCTTTTATATGGGGCATGACGTCGTAGTTGGCGCGAATTCTGGAGGTTTAACAATCAGCCGGCAGGCAAACGATCGTTAGCTGGTGGTGTGTGTGTCAGGGCTCACCATAGCCCGTGCTACTTGGAACTTTTTGTTCCAGGTAGCTAATCTTAAACAACAACAACGTTAGCTGGTGGCGTCTGGTACCCCGCCGAAACAGCAGGTGTCACGGGTACTGGAGGGGGGGGGGGGGACAGGCAGGATGACATAGATAAGGTCTCTCTTCTTTATGTATACATATATTTCCTCCATTACTAACAGTCGGAACCAACACAGAAAGCTACTTTAGTAACTATTTTGGTTTATTAGGTTTCTTATCTGTTCTCTCTCTCTCTCTCTCTCTCTCTCGGGAAGTTTTTCTGAGTCTCACAAAAACAAAATTGGGTGCAGACCTTACCCAGAACACGAGGGCTTGAGGCTGCGGTTTACCCAACAAGGAGGGCGTGAACACATCATGAATTTGCACACTTTTCTTATGTCACGAGGCCAGGTAGACCTTGACATCTGGCTGTGTCACGAGGCCAGGTAGACCTTGACATCTGGCTGTGTCACGAGGCCAGGTAGACCTTGACATCTGGCTGTGTCACGAGGCCAGGTAGACCTTAGCTGTGTCACGAGGCCAGGTAGATCTGACATCTAGCAGTGTCACGAGGCCAGTTAGATCTTGACATAGATCTTGACATCTGGCTGTGTCACGAGGCCAGGTAGATCACGACGAGGCCAGGTAGACCTTGACATCTGGCTGTGTCACGAGGCCAGGTAGACCTTGACATCTGGCTGTGTCACGAGGCCAGGTAGATCTTGACATCTAGCTGTGTCACGAGGCCAGGTAGATCTTGACATCTAGCTGTGTCACGAGGCCAGGTAGACCTTGATGACATCTGGCTGTGTCACGAGGCCAGGTAGACCTTGACATCTGGCTGTGTCACGAAGTTAGGTAGATATTGACACTGGCTGTGCCATGAACCTGGGCAGAGCTTGATCCCTCCTTGTGTCACAAGGCCAGGTAGAGGTTGATATCTAGCAGCGACAAGGCCGGATCCACGTCGCCTTCTGGCTGTATCATGACTGTCGACCTCACGACCCGCAGGCCAGGGCAGCATACCATGCTCTCTGTACGGACTCTATACCCAAGAATGGCCCGCCCTGGGGCGCTACCAGCCAAGGTATCATCATCCACCTGGCGCAACGCAACAGGGTACACTCTACATTATATATATATATATATATATATATATATATATATATATATATATATATATATATATATATATATATATATATATATATATGTCGTACCTAATAGCCAGAACGCACTTCTCAGCCTACTATTCAAGGCCCGATTTGCCTAATAAGCCAAGTTTTCATGAATTCATGTGTTTTTCGTCTACCTAACCTACCTAACCTAACCTAACCTAGCTTTTTT